TTGGCCACTCTCTATGGTTGGCCTTGTTGGCCACTCTCTATGGTTGGCCTTGTTGAAAACTCTCTGACATTGGCCTTCTTGACCACTCTCTATGGTTGACCTTGTTGACCACTTTTTATAACTGCCCTTGTTGACTGCTCTCTATGGTTGGTTTTGTTGAAACCATAGAGATTTGTGCTAGAAGGAGGAAACCATGGATGCTTCACATATCTGCAAGAAACCGGGCGCACAAGAAGAGACCTCCTTGTCCCTCACCGATCAGTTTCATGACGTTGGGATGGTCAAAGTCCTTCATGCAAACGGCCTCACTGAGGAAGTCCTCCATCTCACTGCGGGTGCATATGGCAACTGCCAAGAGAAGAGAGAAATTAACGCTTTGGCAGCTTTAATCCTTGCTCAAGGATTTCTGATCATGAAACTTGACAACCTAAGATTTATTTATTTATTTTAGAAGATTTACATGGCCACCGTTCACTCACAATGACTCTGGGTGGCTTACAAACAATAAAAGTATAAAATTAAATTAAAAATATAAAATGTTTACCATATATATATAAAATAACCCTCCACCGCTATGGGAACAACACTCAAACAAGAGGGTCCATGCCACTCTGGGTTCCTCGGGCCTGTGGGCAAAACCAGCTTTTCCGAAGGGTCAAAGTGGGAGCCAGTCTAATCTCTGTGGGGATGATGTTCCAAAGGAAGGGAGCCACCACAGAGAAGGCCCTTCTTCTGGGCCCCACCAGACGTACCTCTTTAGGAGAGGGGACCTGCAACATGCACACTTAACATTGAGGAAAAGGAAAGGGAACCTCTGCGGTCAACCCTAAGGTGAACCTGGCTGAGGCCATCTTGAAGGCTTCAGGGTTGCCACGCAACGGTGGGAGGGCGGAATGAGTGAGATGGGGTTTTGTTGCCAAAACAATGAAGTTTTCCTGTGGGAACCAAGGACATTCTTGCAGGTGACTGGCTAGGGGAGGAGCAAGTAACCAAGCAACTGGCCAGCACCTGGATTGGGCAGTGGGACCAGTGACTTGGAGGGAAAGAGAAAAAACTTTTACTTTTAATGAGGTGAAAGCCGCAGGAAATCTCAGAGTCGGTTTTCACCAGTATGTGCCAATAGGATGTATCCAATAAAACTCTTCTTTGAGGAGATTGCCTGCCTCGGAGTTCTGTTTCCTACGAGTGCGTTTCTTGGACCACTGACTCTCTCTCTCCCTCTCTTCCTCTCTCCTCTTTCTCTCTTTCTCTACTCTCTTTCTCCTTTTTTTCTCTCTCTCCCTCTCTTTCTCTCTCCTCTTTCTCTCTTTTTCTCCTCTCTTTCTCCTCTTTCTCTCTCTCTCTCTCTCCCTCTTCCTCTCTCCTCTTTCTCTCCTCTCTTTCTCCTCTTTCTCTCTCTCTCTCTCCCTCTCTTTCTCGCTCCTCTTTCTCTCTTTCTCTCCTCTCTTTCTCCTCTTTCCCTCTCCTCTCTCTCTGTCTCTCTCTCTCTGGGTTGAGGCAGCTCTAACCCTCCCATCCAAAAAGAGTATTTTTCTTCTTCTTCTCCTGAGTACTTACTCTTCATAGTCTTGACCGCAACTTTAAAGACAGCACCGTCTTGGCTGAGTTGACCCTCCATAACCGAGCCAAATTCTCCTGTCAAGAGAAAAAAACAACAACAACGGCTCTTCATTGGACTTCTCTGAGGATAATACAAACATGACTGACATCCCTGCCACCTTTAGGATGGCTCGGTGCCATCCGCTGCTGCAAGTGTAAAAGGTTTATTATGATGAACAAGGTCCTTTTTTGGACAAGATATTGCAGGCAATCCTCAACTTTAAATGGCTCATGTGATCTACTGGCACCGGGCCGGGGGCTGGGGTGCGGGATGGGTGATTTTATTATATTATACTATAATAATTTACTAGCTCGATACCCGTGTGCTTCGCTACAAAACTATGTGATCGGGCTTAGCTTTTTGGGAGGAAAATAAGGGGGGGGGGGAATTCTGCCTCTGCCTACCAGCATCCATCGGTATTCATCTGGCTAGCATCCTGTCAGTATATGAGAGTTGAGGGCTGTTTGGAAACTGAAACATGAAAACTGAAGTAGTATTTACTGTGTGAGCAAGAAGGAGACAGCAAGGAGCCTGGGTGTGGCTTAGCTTAACTGTTCTGTACTAAAGCTGCTTGGTGCTGTGAAACAGAAACTCCTCTGCTTGTGTTTTGCACTTGGAAGAGATTTCTTTTCAGGTGTGGGGGGGGTAGAACTCCTTTGCATCAGAGCGTGTTAATAAAAATAATGTAGGAAATTCTCTGATGGTCATTTCGAAAAATCTTTTCTTAGTGAGCACCTAGAAGCCAAGAGGAACATATGTGCCAAATTTCAAGTTTGTAGGCTTTACAGTTCTGGAGATTTCGTGATGACACGTGAGTGATCTTTCGCTTTTGTATATATAGATATGATTCTTTTTATGAGTTTTATTATTTTAAATGTGGTTTTATCTTCTGTAGGCCGCCTTGAGTCGCCATGGGTGAATAGGCGGCAATGTAAATTCAATAAACAAACTAAATAAACTTACAATGGTTCATTTAGTAACCGTTCAAAGTTACAACGGCATAGAAAAAAGTGACTTATGACTGTTTTTTCACACTTATGACCGTTGCGGCATCCCGCATGGTCACAGGATTTACATTTGGGTGTTTGACAACTGTCTCAGATTTATGACGGTCGCAGTGTCCCTGGGGTCACTCATGCAATTCCCTTTTGCGACTTTCTGACAAGCCAAGTCAATTGGGGAAGCCGGTTTCACTTAACAACTGGACTTAACAACAACACTTAACAACTTAACAAATGCAGTGCTTCACTAAACAACGTTGGCAAGAAACGTCATAAAATGGGGCGAAAACTCACCGGACAAATGTTTCAGTTAGCCCCATAAAATTTTGGGCTTGATTGTGGTCCTAACTCGAGGACTACCCGTATTGTGATTGCCCAAATTTGAATAGAATAGAATGGAATGGAATGGAATGGACTGGACTGGACTAGAATAGAAAATAGAATAGAAAATTGCTGTTGCTGTGTTTCTTTGAGCCACAACATACAAACAGGAGGTTGTACAACTTGCCTTGTGATGTAACCGGAACAATATGGAAGTGAACACACTCAAAACCGTAGAGATGTTGGTAGACTTTAGAAGAAATCCTCCCATACCTCTTACAATACTAGACAACACGGTATCAACAGTAGAGACCTTCAAATTTCTAGGTTCTGCTATATCACATGACCTAAAATGGACACCTAACATCAAAAAAGCACAATGAAGAACGTTCTTTCTGTGCCAACTCAGAAAGCTCAAACTGCCCAATCCAGTTCTACAGAGGAATTATTGAGCCTGTCCTCTGCACCTCTATAATTGTCTGGCTTGGTCCTGCAGCCCAACAAGACAGACAGAGACTTCAGAGAGTAATTAGGACTGCAGAAAAAACAATTACTACCAACCTGCCTTCCATGGAGGAACTGTGTACTACACGAGTCAAAAAGAGGGCTGTGAAAATATTTAGACTCCTCACATCCCGGACATAAACTGTTTCAACTCCTTCCCTCAAAACGATGTTATAAGGCACTGCACACCAGAACAATTAGACACAAGGACAGTTTTTTCCCAAATGCCATCACTCTGCTAAACAAATAATTCCTTCAACACTGTCCAACAATTTACAAAGTCTGCACTATTATAACTATTAACCTTCTCATCACTCCTTATCGCCCATCCCCTTCCACTTGTGACTGTATGAGTGTAACTTTGTCGCTTGTCTCCTTACAATTTATATTGACTGTTTCCTAGTATGATTTGATTGCTTATTTGTACTCTATAACTATCATTAAGTGTTGTATCTTATGATTCTCAACTCTTGACGAATGTAGCTTTTCTTTTACGTACCCTGAGAGCATTTGCATCAAGACAAATTCTCTGTGTGTCCAATCACACTTGGCCAATAAAGAATTCTATTCTATTCT